GTAAGTTACGAGACAAAATAAAGAATTGTGCCACCTCCTCGAGTGTCGTGTTATCCTGATACAAAGAGGTAAGTTCCGACACAAAATAAAGAATTGTGCCACCTCCTCAAGTGTCATGTTATCCTGATACCAAAATGTAAAATTCTGACCAGAATTTGATACGTACCAAAAATTCCTTGTGCCACCTCTTCGCATATCATGTTCTCCTGATACCAGAAGTAAGATCAAGCCAGAATTTCATACGTACCATGAATTCCGCGTGCCACCTCTTCGCATATAATGTTCTCCTGATACCAAAATGTAAAATTCCGACCAGAATTTGATACGTACCAAAGATTCCTCATGCCACCTCTTCATATATCATGTTCTCCTGATACCAAAATGTAAAATTCTGACCAGAATTTGATACGTACCAAAAATTCCTTGTGCCACCTCTTCGCATATCATGTTCTCCTGATACCAGAAGTAAGATCAAGCCAGAATTTCATACTTACCATGAATTCCTCGTGCCACCTCTTCGCATATAATGTTCTTTTGTTACCAGGAGTAAAAATCCAACATTTCCCATCACAATTTCGAGCCGAGCGATTTGCAACAGTGTTGAACTCGCAACTTTGTTGTATTCTGCGGGAAACGATTTGCAACATTGTCGAACTTGCAACTTTGTTGCATTCTGCGGGGAACGATTTGCAACATTGTCGAACTCGCAACTTTGTTGTATTCTGCGGGGAACGATTTGCAACATTGTTGAACTCGCAACTTTGTTGCATTCTGCGGGGAACGATTTGCAACATTGTTGAACTCGCAACTTTGTTCTATTCTGCGGGGAACGATTTGCAACATTGTTGAACTTGCAACTTTGTTGAACATGGTTGCAAATTTTGGAAATTCCACCTCTCAAGATTGCATCAAAGTTGCAGAGCTAAAGATTACAACTCAGAAGTTCGGTAAAATGTGACAATATCCGAAAAATCGACGCGACATTGTTAAACCAGGAAATATCACAGATGTGAGGCGAAATTATAGAGAAATATCACAGAAATGAGGGAAAATTATAGGGAAGTATACCAGGAAGTAAAGGGAAATATACCAGAAAATGGAGGAATATTAAAGGGAAATGTGTAAGGTAATGGAGGGAAATTAAAGGGAAATATACCAGGAAATGGGGGGGGGGCGGAACTAAAGGGAAATATACCAGGAAATGGGGGGAGTTAAATGAAAATGTGTAAGGAAATTAATGGGAAATATACCAGGAAATGGAAGGAAATTAAAGGAAAATGTGTAAGCAAATGAAGGGAATTGAAGGGGAAATGGAGGGAAATTAAGGGAAAATGTGTAAGCAAATGAAGGGAATTGAAGGGGAAATGGAGGGAAATTAAGGGAAAATGTGTAAGCAAATGAAGGGAATTGAAGGGGAAATGGAGGGAAATTAAAGGAAAATGTGTAAGCAAATGAAGGGAATTGAAGGGGAAATGGAAGGAAATTAAAGGGAAATAGAACAACTTATACTTGCAGTTATGTCAGGCCGGTTGCCGTCTCGTAGGCGCAGGATTGCCCCTGTTATGCGGCAACCTACACTTACAGCTGCGTCGGGCGGGTTGCCGTTTCGTAGGCGCAGAAGTGCCACCTCTTCGCATATCATGTTCTCCCGATACCAGGAGTATAAATCCGGTCAGAATTTGATACGTACCAAACTCGTATGTAATTTGCTTGGCGATTGTAGCTAAACCGAACGCACTGAATGCTTGAAAATATTCCTAGAGCAACCTAAAGTGATTGAAAGGTTCTCTGTTTTTAAGTAAAACCATAAAACCGTCGTTCTTACAAAAATATATCTAGCATTGTGGTATCGAAATAGCGATGTGCCCATTCTCTGCAGACATCCTGCTCTTTAAAACGTCCACAACTCCGTTTATTTTCCGAATTCAATAAAATCCTTCGGCAGATATATTTGAAATGCCTGCTTGAGAATATACAAACAAAATTGATATATTGAAAGTTCTGGACTAGAACACCACCTTTATTTTCCTAATTCTACCTCTCTGATTCCGCTATACTGATATATCTAAAGGGCCCACAACAAGCTCGAAAGCTCCTTTCTCCCCGTTTCGAGGACCAATCAGTTACAGTAGCGAGTCTGCCATGCTGGTACGTACCCTCGTAGGCATGCAGCGGCCGAACGCCGAGCGGTCGCTCGCTCTGTATACCGAATTCGAATCAATTGATTGGCTGTTGATTGGAAATTGAATTAGATCGGAATGTGCGTGTCTGCGTGGTCGCGGCGAGGGGCGGAACACGAAGAGGGACAGCCCGATGGCGAGGCAGAGGCCACGGAGCGAGATAGGGTTGCTGTCGTGCGCGGAGCCATGGACCGGGGGTCCCAAAGGATGGTGGCGATGTGGCGGGTGGTTACGGGAAGAGGGGAACGGGCACGGCTGCTTCTGCCTTCGCAATGTGCCTGGAATATCAATGCCAACCACTTTTCGTTGCGACCGCTGTCGGACAGCGGCGCAAACTGCCGTCGTTCTTTCTCTCCGTCGAGGACGCCGCTCGTCCCTGTTCCATCGCGTGGTTACTACGCACACATCATCGGCCATCGTGTGTTGCCGCCGGCGGCTTTTCACGCGTCTGACCTCTTTGATACCGTGCCCGGAATCACGCCTGTATCCGTCGTTTACTCGTGCTCCGATTTGCATAAATTATTGGCTACCACATGAAGAATATCGATTCGCGGGGGCCGCCTTCAGATTCGCCGCGCACAGCGGAGGCTGTGTCCTGGATCGACGATGTGGTGTCGCGGGATCAGGGTTGGCCTGATGGGACGTTAGGTAGCGGGTTGTGGGTGTCTTGGCATAGTAGAAGCGGAATTAGTTTGACATGCTAACCGGCTATATTTTCGAGGATATTTGTTGACGCATTCGCTAACGCGAATTCACGTCACTTCAAATTCCATTCTAAAATCTTTTTATTTTATATACCAGGAGCGAGTGTTGTACCAGGAAACATTTTTTGAAAACAAGCTTGTATGTTTAAAATAAATAAACTTCATTACGTGAGCTTGTTTTCAATTGTACAACCCCCCCCATACTTAATCCTATAAATGCTAAGGTCAGGAACGTCCTTTTAATAAAACCCTTAGAAAGACATCATCGTGGATATCATACTAATTATTTAACGTGAAGCAACCATTGTATTTACGTTGAATGGCACACACCCTCAAACATTTCCCCTCCTTCGCTACATCGATACATAATACCCACACAAAATCCATATAATAAATACATTCTCTAGCAACGAACCTGATACTTCTCGAAATCTTCTCCAGACTTCGCCAATGTTTCTTTTCCTGTTCGAACTTTCAATTCGCGCGAAACCGAGGGAACCACCCCTCGAGGCGTGGAGTTCGAGGATCGACGCCCGAGTACTCGAAGGGAAGATCGGTGCACAATATAAAAGCAAGAAGGAAACAGTAGTAAAGTCCGTCGTTTCGCTGGGAGGAATTACTCTGGAAGCAAGAGGACGAGCCGGAGGAGAACGCGAGACGTCGGTAGACGCCTGCGATGACCGCAAGGACGAGCTTTACGAGCTCCGCTCGAACTCTCCTCCTCGTCACGCGACGAGCGAGAGAAATGATGCAGAGGGGGTACGGTGGCTGGAAGTGAAAGAGAGGAACGGTGACTCGGGGGTGGCTCTCGTTTTCGTTCTCTTACGCCCTGCGTCGTCGTCGTAAACCTGGGTTTATTTATGCGGCCCTCGTCGGCCGGCTCCTGTAGTAGAACGACGGGGATGTGACAACGTGACGTGGTTACTCCATCGTCTACCTTGCGCTCTTACAACCCTTATAGTTCGGTTATGTTTTTCTTGATAAACGTATACTTGTTTCGATCCTGATGCCCGGCTTCCGAATTGGACGTCGCGGTAGGTCGCATGCAGAAGTCGCGAGACCCAGGTTGCTGCTCCGAGGTGGAGGCTGGAGGGTTTGGTTGTTATTCATATCGTTGTAGAATCGACTGAAACGAATGTCCCAGGCTAAGTCTCGGCGTCAGTCGGAGGCAGAGTCTGATAATGGTCCTTGGAAAAATAAAAGTTTCGTCAGGGTTTCTTTCTTTCTATCTATGCATTTTATTTGTATTTATTTACTTTTGGTCATTTTTGATGTCATACGAGGTGTTTACTCTTTTCCGACACTATCACAGGGTGGACTGATAACGTTCTTGTAACAAAATGAAACTATCCGATAGTTTTCTTCGTTTCTATATGCGTAAATACAAATTTATATTTATTCAACCCCTTTCAGCGTTGTTTAATATTGTTACGAAACGAATTACGGTAAGAACCCTTGGAAAAAATGGAAACGTTCTCTTTTATTTCAAACGTGTACGAGTCTATTTTTATTTGATCCTCTGTAACTCGTAGCATGTTAATCTTCATTGTTTGCTGATTTTAATATTAAAAATTTGTCAGACAAATGCACTATGTTTGAATTTAGATGTCCCTCGACGTCTCCTTTCCTTGCTCGAATGATTCATACAATAATGCTTCTACTCGCTTACGTTCGCTCGTAAGATAAAATTTCTTCGTTCCCGTTGCAAGACGTACAGTTCGTTTTCTTTGGTCTACCACCGTGACCAGTTTATACATCACTCGCACCCCAAACCGGGCCCTCCAAGAACGGGGCAATTCGTTTGAGTTAGCCGAAGACGGCAACCGCTAAAAATGTATATTTAATGTTCTAGGCCGAACTGGCTGCGTTGAGGGATCGCAAGGCTGCCATGCTGGCACTGAACGTCTCGACGCACAGACTGATCACCGATCTCGGTAACTCCGCGACGTTGAACTTCACCGACCTCAAAGATGGCGTCGCAGACTTGTATCGCGTCTGGGACGAGACTTTCCAAAAGTAAGTACTGGCAAGTTCCAGCAAAGTTTTCGTATACCTCCATTTATTCGCGCTACGATCTTTATAAATATTTTTTTTTTTTTCATTAACTACACTCCTTGGAAGTATTATGTCTTTCCTATTCATTTGTTTTAATTATTCTTTTTATTTTTTATTTTAATTAACGTGTCCTTAGAAAAAATTCCCATATCAAAATTTGATATTTAACAAAGCGTAACAACGCACCCACTCCGCAAGGAAAATTAGAGTATCTACTCTTGGAATAGGTACCTAAACGTTATGGAATGGTCAGAGAGAAGAGCACGCGGTTAGAGATTAACGGAATTCGCGATTTCTGAACGTCTTCCGCGTCGAAAGTTTCCTTTTCTGGTCGAGGGACACGGTTATCGAGTTTTGGGGCCACGCGGAATAGATGGTTTAGGATCATCGACTGACCGTTCGCTGGCTGGCGTGTGACGTTCAGCAAATATTATGAGAGGCAATGAAGCCTCCAAAGCAAACATCGGGAACCCATGGACGCCATAGGTACCGGCAGCGAGGGCTCGGATCGTTGGGATTTTGACCCGTGTCACGGGATTACTAGTTTTAGCTTGGGATCGCAAGTTTAATCTCGGATATTTCCAAAGTGTTCACCACCCCCGAAGAAACGACTATTTGGACGATTTTCTACGAGGGTGCATCGACTAATTTTATCGTAGGTTACACGCCGGATATTTATTTCTTTATCTTACGGAAAGGTGTACAATGTTCGATACTTCTTAAAATATTTAGCTGATTTTTCGCGTTTATGTCACGAATAATTTTTCTTTAATTCTTTTTTTATTAGAATGACAATGTCACTTTCTTCTGAAAGGTTTTCAATATCGTTTAAGAATATCATTATAAATGCTCGAAATTTTTATCATCAAATTCTCTCTCTAGACGTTCGTTATTTCGTTAATTTACCGAATCCAACCAAATCCTTTGGGAGCTATTTTTAAACATCTACGCTTCGAGAAAATAGAAAAAAAAAAATGATATTTTGAAAGTTAGAATTTTATTTCAGCAAATGTAAGTTGATAAAATGAAAATCGAACACCCTAAGACAAACACCATCCAACAGTGAGAAAAGACAGGAAAAGGACGAGGCGTATCGCGGCGCCTAAAATTGATACGTGGTTGCAGGAAGAAGCACATCGCACGCGGAACGGTCGCGTTTTAATTGCCGTATGAGCACTTGATTCCCCTGTCTGATAGGGATTTGACCCACGCGAAGGGGTTTGCTACTGACCCACTGGGCTTTTACAAAGGTCGAGCCAACTTGTTAGCCAGAGATAGCCTGAAATTTCTATTCTTTGCACGAGCGCACGCGACTGTTCCGTATAACGCACAAATCGTCCGATGACACTTCGTTTCTCGTAGAAACGTCTTGTATTACTGTCGATTGAACTTTAATAGGTTTCCTGCTTTTAAAAGCTATATTATCTTCATATAAATCCTATAGAAAGTCGAGCGTTGGCTCGAGCGATTATCTTCATTAATTTCCCATGGATCCAAATTGAAAAAGATTCGTATTTAAAATTCTGTGGCTCGATTGCGATTTAGTTAAACTTTTTTTTCTCGAATGAAAGTGATTTCTGTATTCAACACGCCAATGTAGAACGAACTCGAAGCGAGTCTTCGTCGATCTGTCTGTCAACGAGCCTCGGGGACGTTCAGATTGAGTTCGAATAAAGTGTTTTTATTTGCCGATAGTGCCATTGGGGAGATCCACTAATAATTCGACGCCTTACTGTTTGCCAAGAGGCTTTTGCCTTCGTTTCCACTTTTTATTGTGTTGACCCTGCTCTGGCGATTTTTCCATTCAATTTCATCCACCGATTCCCAGACCCGGGAAGAATCGATGTTTGCCGAGCCTCGTGAATCGATTTCTATCGCGAACCGAACGTGTATTTGAAAGTTAAAGAAGTTGACGCGCTTCTTTCTTAATTTTTTTTTCTCAATTATGCGTTTATCGCGGTATTATGTATCGCTCTCAGTCTTCTTTTCGTTGCAGTATGGTTTCAACGCAACGCAATCGATTCTATTACTTAGTACCGAAGGAATTTGTATATAAATTAAACTTAAATTTAGTTGAAGTTTCTTAACAAGATTTATACTTTACTTTTCAGGGGCAATCAACAATTGTGCGCTCTGCAAGCCGTCCAGCAGTTTAGCATTCGTTTGACGGAGTTACAGTGCGCACTGCGAAGGGACAAAGACACCCTTGCAGTATTGGACGTGGCCCTCCAAGCGGGAGCAACATCGGAAGTGGCTTCGTCGGTTCGTCACGTCGCCAGGCTACTGTCTGAAAAACAGGACATCAGTTGTCAGGTAAGACACGATCGAGTGCGCCCGAACCCGACGAAAATTCACAGTTGATTTTCGCGAAAACAAAATCTTACACGACAAATTTTTATTCTATATCTTCGACTTACTTTTTTCACGTAGAACACCCTGTATAATAACAAAACGACGATTAAATATTTCTACTTAAATAACGGTTATAAACGATCGAATATAAAGCGAAAGAGATACTTTTAATTAATAACTCTTTCGACGAGTTATTTGTCAGGATTTTTGATAAACTTGAAAAATACAATTGTAACACACAAAAAGGAAGCTTCGTAAGTCGAATTCAACGATACCTCAAACGCTTTATTCTTAATAAACCTGACGTTGCTATTTCCACACCTGGTACTAGTTCGCGTCGAGAAAAAATTCGACAAAACGAAGTATAAAATTGTTGAAGAAACGAACATGGGAGGGGAATAGAGACGTCGGTGGCGAGTAATCATCGTGTCGGTTATTCTAATCGCGTTTGAAGGAAAAACGAGCAACGTCGACGTGGAAATATCGCGCGGCGGGACGACACAGGTTTCTACGGGACGCGTAACAGGGGCCAGGCCAATCGGAAGTCACGATAACAAACCTGCCACCTGCTTCACCTCGAGCTACTTTTCTCCTTAAGTCCATAAAGCGGCGAGCCGACGCAAAGCGACCTTACCAAGAGATTTACTTTATATGCAAATGCAAGACGGATATGCCGGGAAATAGGGGGATGCGATGGCGTTTAACCGAAACACGATATCGACAAGTGTCATCTGTCAAACGTACCCTCTAATCTGACCCCTTCTTTCCCCTTCTGGCAGCTCCTTCCGGGTTCCTCGGCTGGTAGCATTACCAGTACGACTTTATAAATATGAATCAAACTTGGCGTAGTCAGATAGTCTCGTTTACTCACGGACGATTACGCTAATATTTTCTACTTTTTGTCGTGTACTGCACGCAAATAAACAACCCAAGTGCGTAAAGTGAACGATTTGAAATAAACGATTCTCCTTTGTAAAGGAATTGGCGCACGCGTAACTTAATCCGAACACGAAATTTGTAAATTCAAGATAAACTCATTTCAACAGGTACACTATATGTTTGAAGGAAACGTAGATAATTGGTTTCTTCAATTATACATTTAAGGTAGAAAATTAATTCCAAGTTTATGAACGTTTGAAGAAATTTTAAGCGTGCAATGGGCAAATAATTATCGTATTAATTTTGAAGATATTAAAGAGATTACGAAATAGTACGTGGTACACGCTAAAATGTTATACGTATTTATTTACACGCTGACCCGTTACTCGATGTTATTTACACGACTGTATCCAAGAAAAGGGCCAATAATTAAGGCAACCAAGCCTAAATTAAAGTTTGTATTTAAAAAGAAATTTCTGTTATCGTTACTGTTGTTATCATTCCTACAGTTCAAGTCGTGTTTGGAATGCAAATTTTGGAACAAAATTACGTTCAATTACCAAATGGTAAATGACAAGCCCCATCGATCCCGATACGAGGCGAAACGTTTGTTCGAGGTGTCGCATATTTTCCAAAATTTGAATCAGTTATGCCAGTCACAAAGCGTACTCTCATCCCCCTGGGAGGAATCCCTCGCCGTCAGATGTTTCCGCGAACAAAAACAGGGTCGAGAGAAAAAGTTTCTCGCGCCGAGCGGAAGACGAACCAATAAACATGATTCGCCTTATAATCTCGCCTTCCTTAGAACAGCTATATCCCCGGAGTCCTTCCACTCACCCAATCTAAGCGGGGAAATGGTTTCATGCACACGAGCGATACCCCCGGGAACCGTTATCCCATCCAAGGACGTTGAATAATTGCTACTAGCTATCTAACCGATTGAAAATCAAGGATGCCGTGGGAACGTCGGCTAAACGATTTAGCGAGGATTTTCGTCATTTCGAACGAACGAGATTCTGCACGAAAAACTAACCCTTTGCGCTCTGCACCATCTCGTTGTAAAATGTGCGAACAGGAACCTCGGAGACGTGTTGTTTTTGGTATAATTAGATTTTCGCGAAACATTGACACCGCTTCGAACATAAAGGATCTTTCAAAAGACGCTTGAGAATTTTGTTTTTGAATACATTCGATACATTCTATGATGTATTATGTATATTATGTATATTATGTATATATGTATATACATTGAATATGTTTAATTAGTATATTTTAAATAAAATACACGTAAAGTAAATATACGGCAATTTACTTGATGTATGAAATACAAGGAATAATTTTTCCTTGAATTTTACACCAACGAGTGTTCCTTAATTTTGAATTAATTCTAAAATACGTATACAATTTATTTAAACGTGGCACTTGAACAGATAGATAACAATAGAAAATATACAAAACGAAACACGTGTTACAAAATGTAGAAGGCGAAAGTTACTTTAAGTTTCTGTTCTCCGTCTATGCAGTAAAAGATATGAATTTGTACGAAGAAATTCGCAGCCCAGTTGTCGGTAGTTTGATATTATTTGTTCTCGTTCGTCCTATCCGACGAAATATTCCCAGCAATCGGGCGCATAAACGTAGAAACGTCGTTCCTACGGCACATCTAACAACCAAATGGTTTTCGCGCGCGAAGAAGGTCCGAAGCAATCTCGGACGGAAGAGCCACGATCGAGAGTGAATGTTCCGTAGACGGAGTAATAGGTATTATGGCAGCGAAATAAAGGAGAAAAGGCGCGATCAAAGTACGAAAGGAATGGAAAGGACCGACTGTGGAGTCGAGGATACCCATTATCCGCGCGGAGACGTGGATCAGGATGCAAAACGCTTCGCCAGCGCGCATTTAGCGACCCTTGCCCGCCTCTGAATTCTCTTTAGTCGTTCCAACGCAGCTAATCGTCGCTCATAATAGGACGGCGTACGCGTTGGCACACTCTGCCATAACAGAATTGATCCATTGGCCAATCGATCCGGCAGTTTGACAGGAATAACGAAGTGAAAGTAATCCTTTCTTTGATCCTTTCAGAACTTGTACCTTTCAACAGATCTGTTTTGGATGACGTTTCCACGAAGAGAAATTTATATCGCTAAATTATTAGTTATTAGAATATATTTTATGTAGAGAAGTGGTCGAAGAATTGTCTCATTTATAGGTGACTAGGTATGCCCCTCGGTTTCATCCGCGTGGAATATTATTTTTATTCTATAATATTATAAAAATGTACCCAATGTTTTTGACTAACAAATTTCCTAACTAAATTCGATCGTCGAAGACAGATAAATCTCTCACATCTTTATAATTAGAGAGAGAGGAAGAGTAAGCTAGTTTATTCGTAAAATTAATTCGATACAAAATTACTGTAAAACCATTGACCATTGATTTTAAGAAAAAATTGATCGAAGTACATGGGTCGAATCGAGCAGCTCGATAGTTTCAATGTTAAGCTTTTAGGTTTGTTTTCTATACCCAACACACTTACAAAGGTAAACTTGAGTTTCGACGACGACCCGAACATCGAAGAAAGAGTTACTCGAAACGTGCACAGGAAAAATATCGAAAGTCAAACACAGAGTAGCGAAAACAGTCTATTTCGCCATTGACGCCGTAACCGTGTTCACGCGTTAACTGTTTACGCGTTTGTGCTCCCCGCCAAAGAGGTCCAGATGTTCGCGGGATAAAACGTTACGACATATTCCCTCTGCCTCGGCGGAATCACTTTCGACGCTTTTCATGCGACAGTGAAAAATGTTTACCGTCGAACCATTTTCCACGATTACTGGTCTCGCTTACAATGTGTCATTGAATGAACCGAATGGAACTCTGAAAACGGTCATTTCGCGCGAACGCAAAATAGTCGTGTTTGGAGAATCGTGGAGAATGGCTCTGTGGGATTGATTGCTAATCTAAATCTAATCTCAGTTTACGCTTTTGCACTTTACACATTTGCACTTTGCACTAGTTATGGACCTCGCTGTATTCAAATTTTGTATTCAAAGGCACAATTTGAATTTTTCTTAAAAATTTTCACGAACTTTCCGGACAACCCAATACACCCTCGTATTCTTATCAAGGAAAAGGATCCTTAATAAAATTGTCTTCAAGAATAAAAATTGAAATGGAACCCGCGAGGCGCGCCACCGTCGTAGAGCATACACCGCGATGTCGGATAGCGTCAGTCGGCTTGGAAAAATTCTCTCACACGGTCGAAGGATTAATTCTGTAGTCGAGGGAGATCAAGTTGGCGTGTAACGAGCAGATGATTGCAACGCTACGCGAAAGGAGGCGACGCAGGAGCCGTTCGTGCGCGACCGAGAAGAAAAACGTCGTCGTAGCAACTTCCAATTGTACCCGCGCTTATTTCGCCTGTCGGGAAGACGTATGGCTCGCGACACGATATTTTTACCCTAACAAAAGGTAAGAACGGCGCCCGGGAGCGACACCCAACCTCTCCTTTCTCTTCTCTCGGCAGCCTTTTTCCTCGCGAGTCCTTCCGCGACTCGCGACTCCGCTTTAACGTATTCAAAGTCCCGTCAAGACGGAACAATCCGCGGTGCCTCTCGGTTCCGTCGATCTACAACACCCAGAGGGATAATTTCATGCACTCGGCATTATACATCTTTCTTTCTCCTCTTTCCGATACGACCCTTAAACCGGCAGCGAGCGAGGAAACTCTTCCCGCCGCTTCGACGAACTGCTCGACATTACGACCTTTCCCTTTCCTCTTTTGCTGTCTCTCTCTCCTTATTTTCATTCGGGTTAGGAAAAAGACGAACGGATAATGGAAGAAGGAATTCCGATTGGACCGATAAAACCAGCCGGGGGTGGCTCTCGAGATGTGGAACGGTAACAGGTCGATCGCGACTGACGATTCTCTATTTGTTTCTCTAGAAAAAAAAATAATAAAAAAAAAAAAAAATATACATGTCGTATTGAGTAACCTCCTCCCTTTCGAAGTCGTTTAAAAAATGGCGAAATGCGGTCGGTTTTGACTAGATAAATTAGACAAACGCGATATTTCACTTGTGAGCCAGGATATAAAATTACACCAAAAGAAAATAATTCAATCCTTGAGTAACTTCGACAAATTGTAACTACCCACTCGCGTTTACCCGCAAACTTGATTCCCTGACCAGTGTACCGCTTCGCAACATTTTCCACCATTAGAAACAAACGGAACGAGCGATACCATCGGGTAATTCCCATTCGTATAGTCGCCAACGACATCTCCTCTACATATTTAATACCTACTCGAAAGTCGGTTGCATTGTTCCCACTTGAACGCGATCCAGCGAACGTTAAATTCCGAACCGGACCCGCGATCGTGGCTCCTTCGACCGCGAGAAATCCATAAATTTTGATAGGCGTTAAATAAAATATTAGCGAGGGACTTCGAGGAGTCCAGGAGGGTTTGGCTTCAGAATCGCATACGGCGGGTCAGAGCCGCTATCGGGTGGCGTTGGGCTACCTCTGGAACCCGCCAGTTCCCTGGGGAGCTCGGATCGTTAATCGCCCAGGCGATTCCCTTTCGCCTCACGTACGGGAATGGCCCGTGGAATCAGCGTAAAAATACAAATTTAATATCACCGGCGAAGGATCGCTCCGCCGTACCAGTCGTAGCCTGCGGATACACCGTTGTCGACGAGCCCAACATTTCTACGTGGCCCAGAAGCTTAAGGGACACGTGGGTCGCTCGTTGATTAGCGCTTCCGGTAGTCCCTTGTCGCGTAAAAAGTTGGACGTGTCCGTTTTGCCACGATGTTTGCTCGCTCGCCTGCTGTCCGAGCGTTCTTCGTTCGTTTCGCGGCCGTTCGCTCGTTATCGCGAACCGCGACACCTCTGTCGATACGCGGTAAGAATTGTTTGAGGTTGCTTGAATTTTTAGCGTTTCGTTGGCTTTCTTAGACGTGTCTTGCGCGATCGTCGAGCCGGCTGGATTTACGATTTGCTTCGTTGTAGGAGGATTTCACGAGTAGCGTAACGTAAGTACGTGCTTGTTTTTCTCCTCGTTGGGCTAATTTGGTGAGCTAGGGGTGGACGATTGTGTTGTTCCATTAGTTTGTGGGAACGATTCGAGATTTACTTTAGTAATTTGTGTATGCTGGCATATGTGTGCCTATCGACAAGGTCAGGGTTTTTGTTATATGTTAATCTCTCGTGATATCAGGATAGCTGGTTAGGACTCGAGCAGATTCAAAAACAGTGAATTTAAATTATGAGAACGATTTTACTGTTCGAATGGCATAGTTAGATTTGCCACGTCGAACGCCACGTCAGCCATACATGGGCGACAGCTTTTCACTAAGAAACTTGAAGGATTTTGAGAACTCGGTATTAATGAAAATAACTCTGAATTTTAATTAAGCGAACCAAAACGTTGTATTAATAAACCCTTTTAAAGATATTTAAAGATATTTCTAAGATATATTTACCGTAAAATATTAACAAGAATGAATAAATCGTTCCTCTTCTTGTATATTAATTTCAATTTGAGAAGAGCAATCAACATTTCGTTACCAAGTGTTTTTTAATACACTTTTATTCTATGTAGATCCATTCGCAATAAAAATACACGTAACACGAATAATCGTTATGTGTTTCTTTGAACACTCGTTTGAACGATGGCAATGGATAAATAGAAGATAAGAAGTTATCAAGTAAATTAACGATGCAAATAGGAGTTACTTACGAATAACGTTCGTACATTTGAATATTTTATAATAATCTTCGTATTGTGTATATATTTAATATTTTCTCCTTCTTTACTAGTCTTTAACATTTAATAACCAAACAAGTATTTCATTCCCAACTTTGAAGCCACCATTTTCTCTCTGGCGTGCCCAGATTTTATATAAAAATTACGACTATTAATTAACATGATCGTTAATTGATATCATTCATGTACCTTGTCACTTTTGCACGAGGGAATCATCTAGCATGCGTCTATACTACAGTTACCAACCCACCCTGTCGCATATGTCGTCTCGATGCGCAGAGGGTGGTATCGATAAGGATCGCAGAAGGAAAATAAACGTGCAACCTGTATCACAGTGATGCAACAAGGAACCTGCCGGGCTTACGAATTATTTCTATCCTATCTTATAATTAGACGCGTCTAATTCGATCGCGACGTATAATTAGGACTTGGCGACACGAATGAAACTAATGTAATAGCCTAAAGGGCAAACAGACGCGCGATAAAATCGTTGCTGGACGATGACGGACGAGGAACGCTGGGGTAAATATCCATGGCACGATCGCGGATCGTAACTAATCTAATTGATGCAGAAATATTAAGTGATTTTTAGTTTCATTATAAAAAGTTCACGAATAGACTTTACGCGTACGTATACACCTGTAATTAAAAGTTTATTTGGGAATATCAAGTTCATCATTCAATTTGAACTTTTGTCAATAAACATGGAAGGTACGAATACTTATGGGACTGATTATACAAAGTGTGGCATTTAAAATATGCCATTTAAATAATTCGCTTACTTTCAGCGATTTAAAAAAAAAAAAAAAAAAAAAAAAAAAAAAATATCAAACAAGAGTTTGACAATAACCGGTGACTCGAGCCGCTTATTGTCAAACTCTTTGGTGTCCAAGAGTTAACGTTACGTCAATAGTTACTATTGCTCTCTCGCTCTATCTTGTTCACGGCCTTCGTCACGCGTTTGCCGATGTAACTGACCCGGCCAATAGAAGAAATGAGCTGCCATCTCCTGAGCAACAGACAATAGACAATAGGACAGGTAGCTAGATAACGAAAACGTACTCTTAGCGCGTATAATTAATAATAATCCATCGAAACCAACGGTTCCGACACCCTCCGATTTATTTTCGATACACGGTGACCGTCATCCCCACGGTGCCACCGCAGCATCCTCGAACATTCCAAGGTTACCGATATCAGAGATCAAGCGCGGGTTACAGGGGCGGCGCACAGATCCGGAAATAAGGAATTCTCGCAGTTTTCTTCCACGTGATTGGTCCTTCGGGCAACGTGGATTCTGACTCGACTCACTTCGTACCTACTATCCGTTATACAAGAGTATACCGACTTATATATATATATATATATATATATATATATAGGTTAGGTTGAAGGTTGCTACTTGGTATGCGGATCGCGCTTTTCATTACCGGAGGCACTCCCTCCCTCCCCCCCCCCCCTCCCCGTCTCTGGCGCTGCAACAGCCTAAACCAACCCTCTCTTTCTTCCCTCCATCCCCTTTTCCTAGACTTCGAGTCACTCCTCCCCCCCCCCCCCCCTTCTCTCTCTCTATCTCTTTCTCCTCGATCTCTCCTTGCCAGCGGCTCGGTCCTCTTCTCGCGAAGCACTCTGCTTCCACGCCACTTTTTTACTATTACCACTGCTGTCTGGTATCAGCTTTTCGTGTCGCGGCCTCTTGTCCCTTTTTCCCTCGTTTCCTTCTTTTTCCCTCCTTTCTTCTCCGGGAGTTGGGGGTTCCAGTTCATATCGAGCCCGAAACTGTTACGTGACACCGGCATCGGTTCGCGACGGTTCTGGGATTGTTTTCGGGATTATGTCGTAGACAACGGTTTTGTGGGTCGATCGAACGCCAATCGATATACCACGACCATTCCCGGCAACTGGGAATGTTCGGGGACGAAGGGTTTTTTTTTTTTTTTTTTTAACCCCTTTGGCACGGCCGAATCTTGCGCGGGGATGTTTGTCACTTCGAATTGTAATCACGTGCGACGCAACGACGTAAGTGAGACTATTTTCTGTGTTGGTCTCGAGCGTTGTATCAGTGGATTTTATTGCATTGAACTTGCCGTTATCGGAAAGTATTTTTAATCGAAGTTTTAGTTTCACTGCGAATGGCAACATCATTTTCCCGTCCTTTCTTTGCTTCCTTTCTTTCACTTGCCCCATCCGCCCCTTCTTCCTTCGTATAATCGTCTTACATGCCTTCCGGTTGCCCGGCGGCAGTAACCAACACTGGATTACGCAATATTCGATATCGTATTCTCTCGGGGTGTATTTATACCTATCGGCATCCCGTGATCTAATCAGGAGCACGGCTCAAGTACATCCTTTCATGATATTCCACGTAATCGATCGCGGCGAAATCTTAGGCGGCGTCTCTGCTTTAAAAGCGAACAAAAATATCATTTTACCATTATTTAACACGTTGAGCGCTACTTGAAAGCTCCAGTATTGTGCTATATAAATCCATCAATGATACAGTCATGTAACAAATAAAAATTGAGTAAATTTTAAATAAATTTTCAGTAATTTAAGGTAACGTAGATATCTTAGTTTCGTATCGTATTCTACGCGTATTTGTCTCACCGACGACTGTCGCGCCCTGAAGGAAAAGTTCAGTGTCAGTCACCGATGACTGACGTGGCACTCAACGTGTTAAAGTAAATTAATTCACTTGATTCCTCAACCAAAACGCGATTAACTCATTCACTGCCCACTACGAGACGTCTCGCAGTTTAAATTGACCGCACTTAGCCGTAATAGTTTATATTCGTCCTCTCTATGTTTGTCGAAGAAATTTCTCCCAAACTGAATGATGGATTTCATGTTTCCCAATAACTGTTTCCATTATACATATGTACACGAATAAACTTTACACTTGTGTATATTCACAACGAACGTTTTATTCGAAAACGTCAAACCTGTAATTAAATTTTGACAAATTTCTCCAATATCTCATATCACCGCCGTGCTATTTAAATGATACGATATCACGATTCCAAACCACTTGCACGACCAGCAAGTGCATCCACCGCCCATTTTCATCCCCGCGATCCAAAGAATCCAAATGGAAAGACGAAAACGTTCTCCCACCAACGAGACAGTTAAAGTGACCGTGCGTGTCCGATGCTCTTGTTGCAGAACGGGACAGTGCTGAAAGACGCGACCACGGAGGAGGTGAGCGGCGTCGCGACGACGAAATTCGGCGACGCGTCTCCGATCAGTCTAACGCAGGAAGGTGGCTCGCTCTCGGACAGTGGGATCTCTGATAGCGGAAGCGAGCAAGAGTTGAGCGAACGCGAGCGACGATTGGCAGCCTTGCGACGGCTGACACGCAGCTTGGAGAACCAACTGGCGCCAGGTAGCGAGGCGCTCACCGAACTCTGGAAGAGAGTCGACGACGCCGAAACGGAGCTTCGCGACCTGCAGAAGCATTGCCGGGAGTTGATCGTACGCACCGCTGCCAGCGTCGAGGCGCGTGCTGCCAAACGAACCAGCAGCCAGGTCCACCATTTCGCGGAGTGAGTACTCTCTTTTTCATCGCGGAGACTGGTTGACGTAATTCTTTACGAGGGTTCGCGCCGCGTTGCCCCGCCCGAATTTTTAAGCATTTCCAAGAATTTTTATTGAACCGACAACAAGAACTTTGATTTACATCGAAGCACATCAATGTGTCGTATAAGTATTCAACCAGATCATTTTTTATTTTTTTCATTTTTTACAAAAACGCCGAATTGGTAGACGCGATTCGGTGGAGCGTCCTGAAACTAAATGGTTTCGTGGTGGGGACGATAAGTCAAATTAAGTTCAAGTTAGAACAGTGAAACAAAATTAATTAGTTTCTTTAGTAAAATGACGGTGTTGGGACCGTAACACGACACGTCTTTTCAGGATGACTCTGATATTTTCATTTTCTACATGAGCACGAAATTTACAGACAAGAATATGTGTCCCTCTTAACTTAACATCTTGGGTACTAACGAGAGCTGACTTAACAATTTTGAATGGAAAGCCTTGTAGAAAATTATACCTTTGAATTCTTCAAATGGAAACAAGTTAATTTCGTTTGAAACATTTTTCCGTCAGATGCTTCTATTAGAAAATACACTGATATCCGTCAGGTTGAGACAGTGTTATATCCCTATCACTTGTTCACCCAGCTTGCCTTGAGCGCGTCTCTGCGTTATGCTCCATATGTGACAGTAACTCGAGTCACAAATTATCCAAAGGGGAAAAGTGAAATTTCATTTTGAAATAAATAATTTAAAAATATATCATCAACGTCGCCGAAACGATAATATTTCACTTGATAAATGAAAATCTAACATAAAATGATCGTTTCCTTTCAATTAATTTTCTCTGAACAAGTTGAAATAATTTTATTTCTCTCTGACTTTCGTCTTCGTACCTTTCGCGAGGGTATCCCGTCGACGAGCGTCCCGCTTTTCGTTAATTTCCAATAAAGTGTACGCAAACGGTTAATGCAACCCAGAAATACATTCGGGGTAAACGCACGGAAGCGCAGTTTTTAATTTATTCAGGCGTCTGAAGACGCCACGACTTCGGAGGGAATAAAGAACGACCTCCTCGGCTCGCATTCCATTTGCATAACGTCGAAATGAGAAGCAAAGAATGAAGGCGTCTATTTAGACGCGGGGACAAGAGCTCGTTCGTTCATAGTTCTACTCCCATAACGCGTCCACTCATTTGAATATAAGAAGCTGGCTGTGAATGAACGCGCCCCCGGCTCTGTCAAGTCTATCCCCATGAAAAACCGCGTTAAACATTTTCAACTGTACTGCAACTTCGCGATGGCTATTCAAAATTAACCCGTTTGTAACATAACGACTAATTATAATATATGTAACGAATAACACTTTACATTTCTACGCTCTTCGAAACGTGCTAAACTTAGTTTCATATTTCAGCAACGAAACTTAACGCCATGCGGGTACGGTGAATATTTCTGTGTCGTTTATGACGAGTAGATTAGTTCTGTACCTTCATGTTTTTTTATACACGTTTAAAAATTAAAATACGTTCGTCGAAATATATATATATGTACAAACTCTGAAATTGATAAATACTCGAAATACTTAAAATATATAGAGTTTGAAATGGACGAACGATTTTGCGAGTAATTGTAATCATTGCAGAGCAATTACCGAAGCATTCAATATGTTCACGATTTGTCGTGGTATTCCTGAATTAATATTTCCAGGAGCAGAACATTGCGATTAGAAACAGAATGCGGTCTTAAAACGTACGGTTCTTCATTTTATTTTCCCCTCCAACGCGGATTCGTTTCGTGACCCGCTCTTTCAATCGCAATTACTCCCGAATTCCCATTATCACCGGGGCCCGCCTTATTTAACTTTGTTTGAAGGATGCCTTTTTATAGTCGCATTTAATCACTGCTCGTCGACGACGGGTAATAGGTTTAGTTTTCGCGGGCAAAGAATGCCAGCCATATTGCATCATAAAAGAAGCTGTAAAAAAGCTCGTCGCCCCTTTCTCGCGACCAAGTTATCGTACTTTTCTTTTTTTTCTCGAGTTCATCTCTCTAGAAATATGTTTAGTTGCATCACTTATCTAAAATAAAAATCTATAACATACTGGCTTCTAAATAAATAACAAGAAAGAAAAGTTATAGACTTTAACCCGTCGATACCGAGAGTATTGCCTTTTTTAATTGTCTTTGTACGTGTTCTGTATCAAATTTTGAGTATGCAGTGCGCTCTAACGTCATCTAAGGGATGTAACAAAAGTATAGTGATGCTACCTAGACAGTTAGTTAGCTTTAGATGTAATTTAACGAATTTAAATTATACGAATTTAGTTATTGAATTATTCGATGTACATTGAATAAGCTGACAATAATTCCTGCAATTGTATTTTCGTTTAAATTTAAAGTGATCGAGAGTATTAATAAACGAAGTTTAAAATATGATGAAACGGTTCGGTATTGTAGAAAATATGTTGAATGTTACTTTACATCAGAAGTTCCAAGTTGCGAAGATGCACCCCTGACTTGGTTATCCCCGGAACTTACGTTTTGCTCATTTCGTGGTCCTACTTCCACCCGTGGGATCCTATAAATTAATTTGTTTGATTACCGGGATAGCTTCAAGTTTTAGGGTAAGGAGAAGTTTGTCGTTGGTCTGTTTTAGTATTAATTTAATCTCGAACACGGAAACCATTCTAATTATCATTCAAACAGTCTGAATATCTCTTTGATCGCACGAACCTGGTTTACTTCTGTCGTTTCTTTCTTTTTACATTTTTCTTTTTTTAATAACGATTAAGATATCGAAGCAAATGCCTTGCGAATTGTCTGCACAACAAAATTCGTCCCATAGAAAGTTAAAATAAAAATGTCTCATTGTACCGAGTGGTTACTAAACGAAGAATGAAATTCATCCCTGTACCATACCGTAGATAAAACGCGATCTTCCTTTATCGTGTTCGCAGCAAGCGCAAAAAGGCCAGTTCCACGGAGATGGCGAAAGGTGGATCCAAGAAGATCGTGCCGGTCGCGAAGAAGAGCGGCGCAACCGATGGAGGAGATCCAGATTACGAGCCAGAGCTGCCCCACAGTTGGGTCTGGCGCATCCTGAGGGCTGCGCTGCCCTTTCAGCTGGCCCTGGTCGCCCTCTTCTGCGCCGCCTGTCTGCTCGAGCCTCACTGCTGCGAGGCGACCAACACTCTGAATCTTTCGCTCACCCCTCAGCTGCGTTACGTCAGAGGACCGCCGCCTGTGTGAAAACCACGTCACGCGTGGCATAATTTGGTAAATCATAGCGTGCATCATCCCGCGCCTCGATACTCCGGAGGAGTGTGAACACGTTCAGGCGAACCGATCGATCCCTCAGTCACAAAGCGCGATTCGAGCTGGAGAACAGCCTCGACCTAGCGTCCGCTGACCAGGTCACCGTTCGACAATAAGAGCGCACGATTTTCGAAAAAATTGTTCGATAAAATTGTTTCGAGAAAGTCTCGAAAACGCTGCCAATGCGCTTGTAATTGCAATTATTGGGTTGATGAACGAGGGGGAGTTTTATTATACTCTGTTGATTTCTTCTGATGGCAATAGCGATAGATTGAATTTTTTAACACCTTACGAACCGCTGATACGAGATTCGGTATTCATATTTTGGGGAGCATTAATGAGGTTTTGACAGAAAGAACACTTTAGTTGAACTTTAACTAGTTTGTTCGATTGCCAGCATATTATTGTACGTGTTCATTTTATATACGTATACACCTTTGGATATTTGTGCAATGATACCTGAATACAATAAAATTGAAGTCTTACCCTTCCAGAGGAAATTCACTAGCTCTCCACCAATCAAGACAGCTGCTCAAGGGGAAGGGGTCTTCGTTGGTGCATGAGTTGGTTTCACCTAGAAGGCAAAGAAATAATGTTGTAGAGTGTACATATCACAAAGAAGTTAGATTATAGCGGAGGCAGAAAATATTGGTGAATCGAGGACACTTTTCGCAACTGTTTATCACATGATACGCGATACTTTTATACTATATCATTTCGATTCAATATTTGAGAGGCGAGTGGATATGTACCTTCTGGTTTTTGGCTTGATTGATTCTCAAACGCGATTGGTACAAGCTCATGGAACATAGAAGGGATTTAAGTAATTTAGTGGGGAGAACAAAATAGTTGGGAGGAGATCTCTCCATGATCTTTAGCAACCAATATTTTCTGCCTCGAGTACTGATAGGTTTTCAATGTAATTATACGTACTAGGAGACTTATGAACTGAAAATTTGATACTTTTATATTTTGTAGCGAAGAAACTCGAAACAAGTTGCATACATTCAAAGTATAGTATACATTCAAAGAAGAAAAACATATTTTATGCATATATTTTGTAGTATCTGATGGCAGAAAAATATTTTTGATAAAAGGTATGGGTATTGCTTCTCATATTCAAAACAAACATTATAGCATATATAGTTCAAGCAAATATATCATAATTTACTAATGTAATAAACGTTGCGACATTCGATTCAGATCCTCTTCAATAGCAAATATTAATTATGAATGGGTTGCATACATATTTGATTGCCTGATGTACTTCGTGCTAAATTTATTCATAGTTACTTTACATTCTTTTCAGTTTTATAATTAATCTTGTTATACTGAGGGTAACCCAAGTCGAAGGTTAAATGCTTATGAAATAAATAATCCAATGTTTGTTTTGACGAAAGAAACACTGAAAGAGAAATACTGAATTAGGGTACCACAATGGGATTCAATGGATTCTGATATTCCTTCGCGTGTTTACACCGATTTACTTGAAACACGATAGAGTGGAAACTACAACTTTGAAAGAATCCTATGACTGTAGCTTTAATGAAATGCACACGAGTTTATTATTTACAGCGCATCATTTTAATACTGCTACTTTTGTAAGAAAAAATAATAACTACAAACTACCTGACGGCACAAACAATAGAGACAAGTAGTGGGATCGTCGATGCACGAAAAATTAATTGTGGTACTCTAAGGTTAATATTTGTAACGGTCTGACTTTTTTTTTTATTATCAGTCAGGTTTTATACTCAAACTATACACGCTATTTATAAATCAAAACTTTTCAAACTTTCTCATTTTCTCAAATTTAGCAATATCATCCTTTCATCTACGAGAATTCGTACTTCAGCGGTTCTTAAGGTGATTACAACATATTGTTACTAATTTTGAGCGGTAATACAGATTCAATAGAATTCTGAATACTTTCCCGAAGAACAAGTTTCTTCGTATCTCAAAGCACAAACACATACATCAATCAACCCCCAAATTCGAGTGACTTCGATTAGAAGAATCACTTTTACCAAATTGCATCTAAACGCACCGTTAATTTCTAAATCACCGTGGCGCGATCCCCGATCTCGTCTAATTTACAACGCATTGGCAACCGTACACTGCCGTTAGAATATTTTTCAAAGCCACCGTTTGTCAATATCACTGGCTCAAAGACGCGACGCGACAGGAGACGTTCCTGTTTCGCGCTCGGTGAAATTTTAGACTGCTTTAAAGATGCAACGAATTTGCGTTTCGCGAGAAAAGTGCGCTCGATTGAAGTTGCGATTAAGCGTAAACGTAACGAAACGAAAACAAAAAAAAAAAAGAAAAAGAAAAGGAAAGAATGAAAGACGCAAAACGAGTGACTGAGCCGCGACTAATGGTCGCGAACAATGAGCACTACGTCAAAAAAAAGAAAAAAAGAAAAACGTAAACGATGCCGCAAAGATGCATTGTTTTTTTTTTTATACGTTTTTACAAGGTAATATTTATGAGTGTAAAATCGTAGAAGCGACGCGTGGTAAGTATAGTTCGTGTTCTTAGTATACCTACTGTACCCGTGTTCGCAACACGAAGCCACACGGATGGTCATTGGTTCTTCGAGCCAAGCAACGTCGAAACCTCGTCAGAACACGCGAACTCGTACTTCCGGATGGAACGATACGAGAATATCGACAGATAAGGTTAACGAAGTATTTATAAAGAGGAAACTTTATCTTTCCCAGTGGATTTGCAGGCGGTAATTATTTATTCTGCGAGGTCACGAGGTTTCGAGGATGTTCGAAGCACCGAAACGATGTGGCATCCTTTGTTATATAGTATAAATATTTATTTATATATGTTGCAAGTTATATATATATATATATACATATTATTGTTCGTAATTTAACGTCGATTCAGAGAGGTGACATTTTTATTTTTTTTTTTTCTCGCGAGAAGAGAAACAGACCAGATAGATAACGACGAGTTTGTCGCTGACAGATGAAAGTATTTCCGAATGTATGAACACTTTTCAACAACTATATACATATATATATATCCATGCATGCGATGTTAAACGACAGTAATACCATCATTTTATTGTTTTCAGTGAGTTTGTTTGTTTGTTTGTTTTTTTTTTTTTTTTTTTTATATAATTTTGTAAAGATGATTGCAGCCTGCAATGGCTAAACGACGTTGTACGCATTTAATGCTACCGTGGGAGAACGACAGAACCTTAGTAGACGAGATTCTGCGTGGAAGCGGATTAATATTCGTGCAGAATATGCACAAGAGAAAGTTGGTCTCGTTATGATACGACGAGGTACTTACAGCTTCGTACGTGTAAAATTTCAAAAGAAGAAATGGTAGCAGAGTGAGAGAAGACGCACGTAATATTTCCAACGTGACGGTCGATTAAGGTTTAGCAGAATGGAGTTTCTGCTAAATGGAGTTCTTTCGTGAACAGATCTCAAAAGTTCCCTTTTCGGTTACCTTGTTAATCGAAGGGCCTCTCAGATCGGAAAGAAACTTAAATAGGTGGACATCAGTTTCCTCGATTCTAAAGAAAACACGACTTTCTCGGCTGAGACGGTTACAGTTTCTATTTTCTTTGGAATTCTAGAAAATGGTGTTCCGTAAACGACGAGAACGGAGTCCTATCGCGAGAGGCGTTGCTTCTTCGCAAACACAAAGTTTCGACGAACAAACGAAACGAATCTTTTTGAAGTTCCTCTCGAATTTCACACATTCTATTAACAAACCGAGTGATTCAAGTGTCGCATAATATTTATTCCTCGCGAGCTCGACGGAAACCACGAATAGACGATCCGTCGTGAATTTACTAACGAGGAAATCGAGAGTTCGACGAGACGTGTGACGATTATCGTGACTTCTTGACGAGATCATGCGTCACGCTGCGGGCTAAATGTACAAGAACGTGTACAGCGCGCTGCGAAAAGATAGAAAATTTGAGAAAGAGACGATTTTCTTAGCGAAAGAAAGAAAATTTGAGAAAGAGACGATTTTCTTAGCGAAAGAAAGAAAATTTGAGAAAGAGACGATTTTCTTAGCGAAAGAAAAGTGGGAGTGTGCAAAAGTTGCACGATCGAAGCGAATGATCTTCGAGGTAGGGGGCGATTTTTAACGAGCGTTCGAACACGAACGATACGAACGATTCTTCGAGAGAAATGTTCTCTGGTTCTTGCCATTCGAGCAAAGGATCTGTTGGAGTTCGAGAAAACCCATCGTATCCAAACGATTAACGAAATACTATGAAAAAATGATTTTTTTATACGTATATTGCTTCTAGTTAGTGCTTGGACTATTGAATTTCTACTTGTGTAATCGTATTTACGAGGAGTAACGACCGACGATATAATGCAGTTGACACTTACGTCGGAATTATCAATAATCGCGTGTTTTGTATTTTCGTTTCATCGCTTTGGACGTCGCTTGTCATCGTTTTTTGAGAGTTCTGAGTCAGTTACTCTCATTGAACTCTATTTTGTTACTTTGGTAGGTCTTCATTTTATTTTTTGGAAATTTTGGAAAGCTATAATATTTGAATTCAATGTTATTTGTGTTAATATTTTGGTCAAATTCGAGTTTACTATGGAACACTGTTATTTGATTGACAATCAACAGCTGCAAAATGGCTGTTTGGTTGAAAATCAATAACTTGTATTAAGATACCCAGTTGTAGATTCTTCAGAAATATTATTTTTACACTATCAAATTTGTCTTAATTATTTGACACATATTAGAACATTTAGAACTTAGAAGAAAAAAAATCACTCTTCAGAACGACACCAATTAGATTATTGTATGTATCAATATTGTCCACATATATCAATCATCTTTTAAATAACAGAATTATGTAACAGATTATATAAAAACTTCTAAAACACCTCACGATATATTACAACAATTTACATTCACATTTTCTTTCGATTTTTCATTTATACCATAAAAAGAAATAACTTAATTTGATTGTAATTTACCTTGACAATAATTTCTACTTTCAAGGAATAATTTACCGAAGAATCAAACTGTAAACAGATCAAATTAAATTGAATTTCAAGTTAGATACTGACTATCGCGACGATTCTCCAAGTGATTAATGTTAGATAGCAATAAGGTTGTGCACGCGTTCAAATATACAGTTTTCATGGACTTCCGATTGGTTCGATTGGAATGAAGTGTTTGCTTGGTTTGAAGATCCGGGCAGTGAAAAATGTCGATAGAAAATCGGTGACCAAAAAAAAAAAAATATATAAGGGCAAAGGTTTGGAATTTTATTTTTCTATACCGTAGAGAATATTATTTTTCATAATAACAGCGAGTAGTTTCATTCGCTGCCTATACGATAGGAATTTAGAGAGAAAGAAAGAGAAACAGAAATCTAGAAAAATGGGACATACAATTAATCGCTTTGTATCATAGTTCTTAAACGGTTACAAGAACAAGAATGGCCGATCGAGAGCTTACATCGAGCTCAGCAGTTCGTTTTTAATGTATGCAAAAGTTCAGCTACGTTTGCTCTGGTCGTGAATTCAATGAGAAAAAAATAATCCGTCATTGTATTTTCGCAATACTTGAAAGCCTTACAGTTAACGCAAAATAAAAATTAGTAGTGTAAATAGATGCGTTGAGAAAGTAGCGAACTAATCGCAAGATAAGTTCGGATAGTATATTTTCTAAATAAAGAAAAAGAAAAAAGGAAACAGAAGTTTATTGATTTTCGTAGAGGAGAACGAAATTAAAGAAGTCTATTTTGTGAGGTATTTTGTATGGGGTGGGAATTCGTAGAAGATAGGAAGCATATTCTTTCGATTTTCATCTTGGGACGAACACAAGTGTCTTATGCTTCAAAGTGAAACGCGATGGGCTCTATTTTTCAGTAAGCAATTCGACGGAAAACGTTTCGTATTAACGCAACAATTATTGGATGAAATCCATGATACTTATCAGATTTTCGAGCATTGCTTAATGGCGAACAGAGCGACTACTATCAGTCGATTCGAACTCTGTTGGCCACCGAATGTCACCAAGGAGTTATCCTCACCACTCTGTACCACAAGCACGGAGATTCATTATGCCAGGAATAGTAGAGCAGCAGAAATGGGCAAAATTCATATCTAAATTAACGTTTCGTATAATTTCTATCATTTGTTTGTTCAATAATAATTGCAACTTACGTTGAAGAGCTGACTTTCTTAATAATTACTCGATATATACCTTTTTAAGCTAAAGTTTGTTATTATTATTAATAGACGTAACTAGAGAATCAAACTTTATTTACAAAAATATGGGGCATACGTAATTACGAATGCAAGACATTTTGACCGTTGCAATCGAAACAATTTGCAAGTATCAATGAAGAAAATAATTGAGAAGAAGCGCATATTTAGAATTTTATGTTTTCTGCGATTTTTGAAAGAAGCTCTCCAATTATAAACTGTAATTATATTTCACGTTGAACGAATGTAAATTTACTCCGATAAATGTTCGATTGAATAAACTCTCTAAAGCGTTATCAGATAGACGTTCATTGTCTCAATGAAATTTTATTTGAATAATAAATGATTGGTAAAGCCAATTCATCGAAATTTATTCCTGACGTTTATTCTACCGAACATTTAAATTACTATTCGTTTCTATATTTGTTCCAGAATAAATATCTGTCAATTCTTTCATAAAAACTAGAGAAATATTTCCACGAGTTTCTGACGTCTTCCGGATAGTGGGGGTGACCTTCCGCGGCCAATCGATCTCGACGCGACTTTGCGAGGTTTTCTTTTAGTAAAATGACGAAAGGTTCGCGCGACGCGCCGCTCGCAGTCGCTAGATATGAAATTAGGAGTGCTTAGATATTTCGCACGATGCTTACTGTGTAAGCGTACACGTTTAACGAGTGTGTTATCGTGTTTAGCGTTAATATAAAACCTCTGTCGAGATGCTTCACGCGGTTCGTGGAATGCACAACGCGTTTCGCAGACTTCGGTTTTGTATTTCTGGAGACGTTTGTGCACGCCTGTGCGTTCTGGGCGTCTTAGACCGTATTTACGTTGACACCGAGAATCGAGAGCTTCGAATCAGCCCAAGCCGGAGCTGATCGAGCTGGAGAGCATAGTAACGTTCGTGATACCGCGTCGTATCGGACGATTGTGTCTTTTTGTATGATACTAGAAAAAAAGAAAAATAGAAAAAGTGGTAGAAAAAAAAAACGAAGATACGAAGGTGCGAAGAAGAAGAAGAATGATCGTTGAGGTCATCGAACGAATGTACCGAATGATCTGTACTTACGTGTTCTCGATCGCGACAGATAACGGTGACCATGCGTTGCATGTACGCATGCTAATACACGAAAACACAAACATATACACACAAGAAGAGCTTAAGAGTACAGAGTTTAAAATTTAAGCGCCGGTTGTATTCCCTACATACGCCTAATGATTTTTTTATTCTTGACATCTGCAAGAGGACCCTCTTCGGAGTCACTTGTGTTAGAGAGAGAACTTAAACGACGAAAATGGAGCGATTTTTCTTTCTTTTTTTGCTAAATGATCGATATGAGTGGTAATTATTCAGAGAAATTTAGAATTGATCTTCTGTTCATCTTTTCCGTTAGGATGAATGGATAAATGCATTTATAGCGTATATTAACGAGGAAACCAAGAGCAAGACGTATTTACATAAGTATTTCATAAATTAGTATAATAATATCGATAATATTTCATTTTGCATAAACGCATATAACTATTTTGCGTATGGTTTTCATATTAGCATACGCTATAAATTCACGTACCCTTCGGTGTACCACTTCAAGGTGTCCGTAATGTGTATCATTAAAATCTTATTTTATCCTTTTCAGTTTTCGAGACCTCGAAATCACTTTCTATGTGGGAAAGCTCATCTAACCTTTGTATTCAATGTGTCTCGATATTTAAACAAATATTATTTTTCCCTTTTAAATAAAGTATTTTCGAATACTTTGCATCGAAGTGTCGATTTTCAAGATTATCCCTGAGAAGGATAACAAATAAAATTTTAATCGAAACTACATTAATTAGAATTAATATTCTACGAAAGGAAGTGAAATTTACTTTAATTATCGTTCGCGAAAAAGTGCTTCATTTTCACCGCAATAAAGAGCATTATCGTGCACCTTGCGGGATCTATCGCGCGGCGTATTATTTTTTGAAAAGCCACAGACGCCTCTAACGTTGCCAGTTAGGCATCGGTTAAATAGAACGTTGCGCGCCAAGTTCCATGGTTTCACGAGTCTTTGGTTCATCGAATTTACGTTTTACACTCAATGTCTATGACTCGGCCGTTTGGCTCCACGAACGTTGAATGGAAAAACTGGACTCGACGAACACGAGGCTTGCCTCGCCAGCCTTATTTACCTATGATAATGTGTATAATGTACCTGAGAAATCAAAATATTACTTAGATACAGTAAAACGAGAGGTATCGTTACTTCTCTCTCCGTTGCATATTCACGCCTGTAATCGTAAATGATCGTGTCGTGCTTATACCAAGCTTGATTTGTCGCGAAATGTATTCACCTGCGTTGCTAATTTAGCAGCTACTTAGATATACGTTGCATGCGGTTTTTTTACTTTTAACGAAAATTATGATACTGTTAGGCGATGTGTAAACGTATTGATATGTATTTTGGGGGAAAAATCTATAAAAAGAAAAGAAAAGATACATTTACGGTTCGCCGACGAACGTTATTATCATAATAGTCGATATTTTTATGGAGGGCCGCAGTTTCTGGCGAAATTCACGACCAATTGAACGCGTGAATTTTATGCATACGCGACGTGTGCGAGTACGGGAAAATATATTCAAGAACTGATGCAGGATGTGCGTTTATGCAAAATAATACTAAAACAGTATTATCGGGAAGCAGAATCCTCCGGAAATTAATTAAAGTAGCTTCAATTTTTAATGATAATTCGTGAATAGCGAATATAAAATTTGTTAAATTCGATGCTTGAGAAATAAATTAAACATCCATAAATTAAAATGCAAAACAATATTACATAGTATTATTAGGAAATTAATTAAAGTAGCATCAATTTTTAATGGTAATTCGTGAATAGACGATATAAAATTTTTTAAATATATCAAGTGATTACATTAAAGATATGAGAACTAATTACATTGAATGCTTAAGAAATAAGTTAAAAAGCCATCACTGCTCTCCTTTTGATTGAATTACCAAATCGACTGACAAACTATTTACTTTCATACGTTTTGTACATGTTTCCCCGTATTAGTACACGCCGTAGATGCACAAAATTCGCAATCCAATTCCAAATCCCAATCAATTTTGCACGCTGTTGCGAATTTTCCAAAAAAGAAACTGCGGTCCATTTTGCGACAAAGCTATCGAACGTATACCATCGAAAGTACGATCGCCTGTTTGTATTGCGTCTGCTTAAAACTACAAGCGAAATCAACCCTCTGCGAACCTCTTTTTCATAGTATTACGAATCAGTATATTTTTGCATCGACGCCAAAAAGAAAATGTATGCTTACGTCGATTGAAGCACTTTTCATATCATAACGAAAAACAAGTTGATTCGCGGAAGATTGAACTCGATTGTGTCGATAAAGTTTCATTCGAACATCTCGAAGACGCTATTGTACTTTAAGTAGCGTGTATGCTTTACGTTTTATTTTACAGTTAGGCGCCGTAATGTCGGACGTAAACTTATTGGATGACGATGATCGTGTCTACGATCGATGCAACTGGTTTTTTCTTCTTTTTTTTTTGTTCAATGTTATCGTTAAGCCCATCCATGAATTTCGCCGGTGGTTCGTTCTGCCGTTTAATTTTGTAAACTTTGCGTCAGTTACTGCGCCGAAATGGATTGTCTCGCCCGCAAAGAAACACGTTCGTTTAAATTGCACTATAAATCACAGTTTCGTTACATTATTTCTTTATCTTTTTTTTTTTTTCCTTTATTTTGAAACGATCAGGTTTGGTTCATTTCGAAAAGCAATATCAAACAGACGTGTTTCCGCACGGTTACGTATCTCTTCCCATTTTTATATACTTATCGTTAATTTTATTTTGCTCAGACTCGTGCAATTTTGCCATTCACGATGTGCTCCGTTTCAGACACGCGCTCCATTCGCATAAAAAATTCACTTCATCGAATCATCATTCACATGTCATTGCGTCTATAATATCGTATACTTATATCCGATCAATAACGATAATATTTTCTACGATTACGGAGTATTCTAGTGTATTTTGGCACTATGGAGAAAATAAATTACAGTTTTGGACAACATTCTGTTTCAGTTTCTTTCGACGATGCCCCTCTAATCCTAATTTTCTGCGTTTCGGAGCTTGTAGACCGATTTCGAGATAATTAAAGGCACACCACTGCTAACAAGTTTGAAAATGCTGGACGCTTTTACGAAAATTCTAACGATCAATGGTAGAAATTTTTGCGTAACGAAGAACGCAAATTTGGCAGTCTTGATCGAACGTTTGTTAGTATTATCAAAATTCATTTTTATTCTGCACAGATTGATCATCGAATCGTAAACAATAATCGGTATAATATATTTTCATTTTAAATAAGGAAAACTAGAGTGCGGTAGCGATCCAACTTTGTTTGTTTTGGAACATGCTTGATGGACAATATTCTAATTAAGAAGGTGCCAGGTAAGTGATATTTTCAAACGCGTTGATAAAGTTGAAATTATTTGCGAAAGTCTCGTATAGTATGTAGTTCGCGTTCGCTGCCAAAAAGTTACAGAGAGAGAAAGAGAAAGAGAGAAAGCGCAATGCTAAGTGTATCCGCAATAATAATCCAGTGAGGCGATTGATACAGAGGTAGGATGATTGCGGTGTACCTGCGCCCGATTGTGGCGGCCTTAGTGAAGTCAGTGCGAAGGTAGGGATATTAGAGGTTAAAGGGCGCACCCGCCATGTTATTACGACTCACACCTGTACCTCAGGTAGGCCAGCCGCGGCCAAACTTTTCTCTGAGAATCTACTTAATGGTTCCAGGATATCGTAAGTCGGAGCTGTAAATAAATTATTACTGCGACTGCGCGGTCTTTAATCCGACGTGCATAGATATGCCCTTTAATCATGCGACGAGTAACACGTTGCAATTTCGAAACGGGATTACGTACGTACGTTCCGGCATTAACGTGGTCAGAGAACGTTCTAATGTACGGAATGGTGGCCAAACTGCGTCTCACAGGTCGTATCTGTCTCTAATGGGCTCGCTAATTACACTATTTCGTTTTATACACTCGGTATGTACTATATACGCATATGTTAACCATGTGTATATGATATACTACATAGCTATTTTTTTTTTTTTTTACAAAATCACACACATACATGTTTGTAAAGTAAAAAAAAAAAAATAAATATATAGCAATAAAATAAGAAAATGTATACAGTAGGGATCATAAAATACACAATGTACTGTATATATTCCTGTTTTATTGCTTCGAAATTGTAGTAGTACTTTTGTTGTTTTAGGAAGAAAGAAATAGAAACACGTCGTGTATGAATGTATTGAAATTCAATGTTCAATTCAACATTTCTAATTTTAATGAATTAGAAATTATTGAATAGAATGAATTATTGAATATATATATATATATATATATATATATATATATATATATAGAACTGATATAAAA